CAATTTTGGGCAGGCATGCGTTTCTGGGCATAACACCGGGACAGTTGTGAACCACCTCAGCTGGGAGAAATGTTTAATTTGTGTTTGAAAATAAAGCAATGCGGTTTCAATTTCTTTGGTAGCCAGTTCAGGATGTAGTTATTACACAAAACCCCATCTAAAACGATGTAAAGGCTAAAAGGCGATAGCAATGTAATTTCTATTTGTTCTCTATACAAACAGTGCGTTTCTCTTTTTCACTCCTCATTCTGGTTGTGTCGTGTGTCATGCCCTGCAGCCATGGCAAAGGACCCCTTAGCAGAGGCGGGCTTCTATTTTGATGAGCTCAACAAGCTGCGGGTGCTTGAGCCTGATGTCAGCCAGAAGACTTCAGAGTTAAAGGAGGAGTGCAAAGAGTTTGTGAACAGTAAGCATGCAATCTTTTTTTTTTTCTCTGATTTTAAGTCTATGTTGATTCCATTCATGCTTCTCTCTTTCCAACATAACAGAGCTAATGGGATATCCAAACATGTGTCTGTGCAGAAATCGGACAGTTTCAGAAGATTGTCGGTGGTCTAATTGAGATGGTTGATGAACTGGCAAAAGAAGCAGAAACGGAAAAAATGAGGGTGAGGCAGACGTAGAAAGATGCATTTTGATGTGCTTCACTCCAAGGTAATTTTCTGTCGCAACGCGCAAACATCCCCATTCACTCTGAGTGTTATAGTTCAACACAACAGGATTTGTTGCCGTGTGCTCACACAGTATGAAGGAAAGAGGAGATGGAAGCACAGGCAGGCTGTGAACTGAGATAAATGTGATCGGTTTTGGTGATCGGCAACAAGAGACAGTGATCAGCGATCACCGATCATACACTTTTTCATGGAAATCGTCCGATTATGATTGGTGGCTGATTGATCGGCACACCTCTACTTTTGATTAGTGCCATTTGGGTAGTTTCTGTTGTCATTGTAATTTAAAAAGAGTAAACACAGATGCTTGACAATAATTAGCTTCACTCAACCACTAATCCTGGGAGAAAATAGTTTTTATCTTTCATATTCTCTAAAAATTAGCCAAAAATATCCTCCAGGGTACATACACTGTGTGCACATTTATTACACAAGTTTTAGTTTTGAGGATTCATTTTATTGTTGAACAACTGCAGTACTCTCAGTCAATCCAAAATGTTAATAACCTCTCAAACCTGAATATTTAAGAAAATAAAAGTGAGATTTTGGCTTTCTTAGGAACACATCTATGTGTGCACAATTATTGTGCAACTATTAGTGTACAGAATTATTATGCAATTGAAATAAAACTGAAAACTTTCCCATCTCACTTGTTTATTATCATCCACTATGATAATCAAAATTGATAAATAAACATTTCTGACTTTTAAAAAATTAATCAGTGACCAATATAGCCACCCTTCTTTTCAAATAACATTCATGAAGTCTGTCAGTTTCTTGATCTGTTGACAATCAACTTTTTGTGCAGCAGCACCCACAGCCTACCAGACACTATTCAGAGATGTGAACTGTTTTCCTTCATCTAAATCTTCCATTTAAGAAGGGCCCACAAGTTCTCAATGGGATTTAGGTCTGATGAGGAAGGGGGGCCACAGCATTATTCTTTCATCATTAAGGCCTTTACTGGCTAGCCACATAGTGCAGTACTTTGATGCTCAATGGAGCAATGTCCTGCATAAAAATCATAGTCTTCTTGAAAGGTGCAGACTTTTTCCTGTATCACTGTTTGAAGAAATTGTCGTCTAAAAATTGGCAGAAGATTTGGGAGTTGATTTTTGAATCCATCTTCAACCTGTAAAGGTCCAACTAGCTCATCTTTAAAAATGTCAGCCCAAACTAGTACCCTGCCTCCACCTTGCTGGTGTCTGATGTGGAGCTCTGTGTCCTTTACTGATCCAGCCACAGGCCCATCCATCTGGTCCGTCAAGAGTCACTCTCATCAGCCCATAAAAATGTACTTACCCTTGTGATTTTGGCCTCAGAACATGCACACAAGTAGTTTCTGTTGTCATTATGATTTAAAAAGAGTAAACACTGTTTGACAATAAATGACTTCACCCAACCATACAAAACTCAGAAATGGTTTTAATGAGAAAAACTGAAATATTTCAAAAGGGGGCAATACTTTTGTAAGGAACCATAACAGGTATAATAGACTAAATGTTTCGATTTGACAATGAGAATTAAAATAAAATATATTTTTTCTATCCTAATTTTTATGTACTTCAGGCAATTGGAGCCAGAAACCTGCTGAAGTCTGTGGCAAAGCAACGAGAGGCGCAGCAGCAGCAGCTTCAGGCTCTAATAGCGGAAAAGAAAATGCAGCTGGAGAGGTAAGAGGAAGAAGTGATGGGAGCTTCAAGACAATATCCGAAGAGAAAGTTAAATACGGTTTATCAGTCCTAAGGACAGTTTTAAGCTGATCATCACACACTGTTGTGGAAAAGGCTTTGTTTTTAAAAAAGTTATTCTGGTTTTGCTTTCTTGTTACACATGAATAAAACAACTTTTAATATCAAGCAAAGGTAATTAGAGTAAATAGAAAATACAGATTTTGAAGGATGCTTTAATACATCAGTAGAAAAAAGCTTCGCCTGTGTGAAAAAGTAATTTCCCCCAAACTCCAATAGCGGATATTTTTTGGAAATGTGAGTTGGATCTTCATGTTTTGTTTAGTTTTGGTCCTCAAAGTCTCCCATAAAGGCCAGATTTGTCTGGTCTCCTTCATGCTGTTTAATCATGAACTCTGACTTGAACTGAGGCCAGTGAGTGTTGTGCTTCTTTAGATATAGCTCTGCATTCTTTTGTGAGCTCTTGGGTGAGTTTCTGATATCTTTCTGAAGTAATCTTGGTTGACCAGCCCTTTCTCCGTAGGCTCCAGTTCCACATTCCACATTTTCTATATTTGTGGATATTTCCCACTGTGGACTGCTGGAGTCTAACGACCTTAAGCTTTATAAGCTTCTTCTTTAGGAGATTTTATATTTCTACAAGTAAAGCAGTAATCAGGGTTGTATGTGGCAAGGAATATTGGAGTTAGTATTCTTAAAAAATGTTATTAATTTATAATTTAACAAGTATCATATAAAACTGCTTCCTATATTGAATTAGGTTGTTTTAATGATCTAAGCATTTATGAGACAAGAAAGCAAAAATAAAGTGTTATGAGAAATAGCATTGACTAAACCCAGTTCCACAGGCTGATGCTGTTTGACTTCAATCTGTTTAGTTTTTTTTTGTTTTTTTTGTGAGTGAGTCATGTTCTTGTTTCAGGTACCGTATTGAGTATGAAGCCCTGTCCAAAGTAGAATCCGAGCAGGACGAGTTCATTGACCAGTTTATTCTGCAGAAGTGATGACACGACTCAGCAACACAGCAGCCTGTTTCCAGAGTGCCTGTACCAGTCCAGTTCCTCCTGCTGCAACCTCTTTTCTGAAGCTGCCAATAAACTCCAGCTTTGACAAGAAAAGCATACACACACATCACCTGTTAACACCACTTATCTCAGATATGGTTGTGTGTGAGACAGACAGCTGCTGACTGAAACAGCTGCAGCAACCCTGGGATTTCCAGAAGCGGAGTCCTGGAATACCTTTGGAACATTCTGTTTCCAGAGTGCCTGTACCAACTGGATTGGTGTCCATGATCACTTTAAGGGAGATGGAGCTATTTATATGCAAAAAAAATATTTATAATGAACATTATTTATACTGAAAGATTGCTATGTATATCTAGTTTTATTACCTTTTCTATCGACTGTGTTGTATTTGTATTTGCATGCATTTGTAAATAAGTTGAATTTAATACAAGCAGATCAGGATTCATTCCATCATTCTGGTGAAACAGCCAGTCATGTTTGTGTCATAGTTGCAATCTTCATCAACCATCCCGACAGTTTTACTTGAAATGCTGTTTTCTGCTAAAATGTTGCAGATGAGTTGGTAATGTTTTATATCCATTCCATATCATATTCAGAATGGCTTAAATAAAGCATTTTGAAACTTCCACACTTGACCATGTTGTTTTTCATATAAACCAGGTGGCATTTTCACTCCGTACAGGTAGCATTGGGAGTGTCATTGAAGGCACTCCTGGATCAATTTGTCTGTAATTGTGTACATGCTTTGTCTTGTCAAAGCCCCAGTTGGTTTTTGCAGATGGCTGCTCTGGTTCTTCCTGTTACAGGAGTTTTCCCATCCACTGTCGCGACAAGCGTGTCCAGGAGTGAATGCTCCAGTCAGCATCATGAAGCATGATGCTTTCTTAGATGGAAAACTTCACCAGATTTAATAATAAAATAAACTTGGAATGTTTTGTGTAAAAACTAGGATGGAATTGGACTGTATGCAACTGAGTCTGTCTGTGACTGGATTGACCATATGTTTGTGTATAAATTGTAGTTTCTTCTGTAAAGTGCTTTGAAATTTCTTGTGAATTGAATTCCATTAGAAATTACAAAGTCTGTTTAATGCTGCTGTATAGCAACACCAGTTATAAATGTCATGTACGGTGCCTTGCATACACATCTCCGCCATTTTGCGTCATGTTACAACTTTAATGCACTACAGTGAGATTGTATTGGATAAAGTATAACAAAGTGCTAGGAAAATGATACAAGATTCTATAATCCTTTACAAATTAAAATGTGCAATGTGGTATATCTAGGGCCGCTTTTATCTGGTGCTGCTGACTGCTTTCACCTTCCACTCCACATCTGTGCTGTTTTGTGTTGGCCAGTCACATTCAGTCCACTGAAAAGTGTCTGATCATCATGTTACACGTGTCTGAGAAGAAAATTAATATTTAAACTAGAAGACCTGGAACACCAAAAGCCACACAGCAGCATTCAGCCTTGAAATAATGAACAGTAGACTTCTTGAACTGAAATAATTTATTGGAAACAGAACAATATTTACAGCACACGATGTCCTCATGTCTAATGGAGGCTACTTTTTCTTGGTATACTGTAAATAAATAAATATGAATTTAAAATGATGACCATGCATTTAATAAAAACTGAATGTTTACCCTGCCACTCTCACTTTATCTAAAATCCATTCTGCGTCCTTGACGGCCCTCTGGATGATCATGTGTATCCTCTTTGGGTCGTCTTCGTCTGAGTGGCTGTTGTAGCCCTAGTGAGAAGCAGCAGAGGATCAGATTTATGTTGGTTTTAAATCCACTGAAAGATAAACTGTTTACAAATCTAGAGAAAGATTTTAGATTCTGTCACGGGCTGCACAGTGGTGCATTTGGTAGCACTGTTGCCTTTCAGCAAGAAGGTCTTAGGTTTGATTCCCGACCCAGGGTCTTTCTGCATGGCGTTTGCATGTTCTCTCTGGGAACTCTGGCTTCCTCTGTCCACAGTCCAAAAACATGTCCACATATTTTGGACTGTGGACATGTTTTCCACAGTTCAAAAGCATGACTGTCAGGTTAATTGGTCTCTAAATTCTCCTTAGGTGTGAGTGTGTGTGTGTGTATGGCTGTTTGTCCTGTCTCTGTGTTGCCCTGCGACAGACTGGTGACCTGTCCAGGGTGTACCCTGCCTCTTGCCTGAAATGTCTCGCTGGAGATAGGCACCACCACCCCTCCTGACCTGTACCCAGGGACAAGGGTGTACAGAAGATGGATAGGATAGATTCTGTCACTCCCACTTTGTAACCTGCAAAAGTGGGAGTGTTTTAAATACTTGCTCTCCCCACTGTACATCAGACATATTCATAATAATCAGCCATCAAAGGAGACGTCAGTATTTCATTCAGGCATTGGAGCGACAAGCCTCTTACTGGGATCCTATACTGTATGATCTGATCACATGATCATCAGACAGATCATGTGACTTATCTGATGCGAAAAAAGGGTTTCCATTACAGTTTTGAGAAATGGTACAGTGCAAAAAACCACCCCATTCCAACGCAAAAAGTTTTTATTAAAAAACTTGAGTTTTTTTTCGTAATTTGCGTGTTTCTATTGAGTTAATTTATTTTCATAATTTCAGCTTCTGCAATTTTATGGTTGATGAAAACCCAGCTAGTGAAGCTTTGCTTAAATTAACAACATGATCCTCCAGCCAATGAGAACATGTGAAAAGCTTACCTGTCGTATGGCGTGCTGGTAATGCTGTTGCATGGCTGCCGACGGTAACTGCCTGCAGCATCGCAGCAGGTGTCGATAGAGCTGCACAGGTGTGTGGATCAGCTCTGTCCCAGCTAAAGGCACCATTTCTTCTGCCTTAACAGGAGAGTGCTGCAGGTAAAGTGAACATTACTCATTAGTTTGGATAGGGTGATGAAAACATATTGATTATTCTGAGCAAAGAGAAGAATAACGTAACCTTCATATCAACAGTTAAAGAAATGTGTTTAATTTTTGTTTAGCTTCTATACATCAAATCAGAACTGCAATCACCAACCAAGATCTGATATTTAAATCTATGTTTGGATTTTTTGTCTTTAAAGAGAATGCTCAAACCTAATGTTCCCAAATACCCCAGTTTCACTGTCAAACTGGGGGGTTTCACAGTTTAGATGAGAGGAAAAAGTTTTTCTCTTTTCTAAAGTAATGTTCAATGAGTAGGAAAGAGGCTGGTAGAGTACCAAAAATTGTACTCAAGTAAGAATAGCATGACTTGTTCAACTTTTGTGAAAATAAAAAGTAATTGCCCACATAATTACTCAAGGCAGACTAGAAATCTATTCTTTAAAAAGGCTGAGTACTGAGGAACTGATTAATATGTAATCCAGTGATTCTTGAGAATAGGGACAAAACAGGTCCTATTGATATAGCACAAAATTTGAATAAAATATACACAAAATATAATTTTTTCAAATATCTGACTAAGCTAACCTGGGGCATGTGAGCACAACAATGTATGTTTTCCTGGTGTTTGCTGAATATTTTGTCATTTTAAGCATTGCAGTAGGTGGGTGGTGTCTGTAAAATCCCTTGTCCTGGAGCAGAACTCAACACACTATAATAGTTTAAAACAAATAAAGGAATACTAAGATAATATATTATGACAATAATTATAAAAGTATCAATAAATTGAATTAAAAATCATTTTCCAACTCCATTAAATTTGTCCCAAGTTTTTGTCAACGCCATCAGACATAAAAAGAATGTAAAAAGATCAGGCATTATTGGGGGCACCAGAACTTCTGAGGACCCCATGACTTCTTCCCCTCAACTACATAGACATGAATACGTAGACGCCTCATGGAGTGGGTCAGCCCATTGCTGCCATACGTCACTGCGTCCGCCATATTGAATGTGGCTTATTTGTCAATAAGCTAATACAAGTAAATGGACCGAACTTCACAAAGTGCCGTTCTACAAAGTATTTTAAGTTAATACCTGTAATTAACATTTTCTCACACACTAATATATTTGGTAATCAAAGAAAACACTAAAGACAGAGTTTCTAACTTTTGATTTGATCATTTAATTGTTTTGAGGGATTTCTGAATAAAGAGCACAAGTTTTTGTTTGACAGAAATTATTCTGATAAATAGTTTTTATATTAACATTGGTGAACAGACACACTTTTGAGGTGTTTTATTCAAAAACATATTTACGCTATTCCATAATTCAATGTATGGAATAATGCGTAGTTAATGTTTCAAGATATGAAGAAAAAAATTAATTTCCTGTTATTTTTTGACATTTTATTGGAAAGACAATACACTTTGATAAATCAGTTATTGTAAAACATTAGGTACTTTTTTTTTTACTTTCTTTCAGAAAAAAATGTTATAGTATGTCAACTCTGCTACAGACAGCATAGACAAAGAGTGAAAATATTCTAACAGAGTAAATATTTTTTATTTCAGTACATAAGCTGTCTTAATACACTAATACTCAGAACGAGATATTTCTCTTAAAATACACAAAAAGTGAAAGAATAAAAGTGTGCAATAAAACACAAATTTATTTATTTATATTATACTGGGAACACTGGCCACAGGTAGGTTCAGTCTGCTGGTCAAACTGGGAGACGTCCTGGTACACAGGCTAAAGCCAAGGAAAAAAGAGAAATTATCCAAAAGTGCAATAGAAAATACATATATTTTTCCTTCACAT